GAGCCTGTAGACCCTGTACCAAATACATAAAAAGAAATAATAATAATAATAATAATAATAATAATAATAATAGTGGGGAGGGCAGGTCCCTTGGAGAGTAGAGGTGAGGTGGTGGTCTGGAAGCAGAGGCTTTGAGGGCATTAGGGTGGATAAGACACCAGCCGGTCTCAGTAGAGGAACTACAATAGCAAGCAGAAACAGAAATGACATGCAGGATTTGGAGGTAGATTTATTTATGTTGATGGGCTCTGAGCTGGATTATTCCCAGAATATCAGGCCCTGAAGGCTCAGGGAGGAAGGATTTTATGTGATTGTAAGGGGAAGTACAGGGAGCCTGCCCATTAGCTCAGGTGTTTAAGTGCCTGCTGAAACAAAGCAGGCAGGCTCAGGATGCTGTGGTTCGATCCCCGCATCCTCAGGCCAAACCAGACCTGCCCTGAAGGCATCTTGGGGGGGGGGCAGAAAAACCCCTCCTCTTTCTGCAAGGGGAAGTACACAGGGCGGTGAGTACTTGGCTGTCTTTTGATTGGTTTATACGATGTACATCATAGTGACAGCCATTTCTGGAGAACTGGCTGGAGACAGGAGCAACTGGAACTGCGATAGGGATTATTACATCAGCAACTAACAAACTGAAGTATAGTGGCTGGCAGGGGCAGGGTGGGACATTTTCTGTTACAGAACCAGGCCCTGACTAACTGTGCAGAGGTGTATGGGGGACATAGGACTAAGGAGGGCGCCCTTGGACACCATGTGAGCAAAGTGCAAATAGAAATAATATCGCAGTGACAGAGGACCTGTGACCGGCACTTTGAAGAGACAGAAATTTAGGATCTGAAGCTCAGAATCCAGCCAACAGTACTGCAAGCGCTTATGCTACTGAGCTATCTCCCTGGCCCCAAGTGCCCTGATTTGTAATTTCAGGTTGCCCTTGAACTCACTACGTATTCAGGCTGGTCTCACACTTGCAGTGATCCTTTCACTTCAGCCTCTTGAGTGCTGGGATCATAGGCTTGTGCCACTGTCCTCATCAATACTTACAAGTGTAGGGGCTGGGAAGATGGCTCAGTAGAATAAGCACTTCCCTGGTAAGCACAAGGGCCTGAGTTCAATCCCTGGTTCTGACAAAAAAAAGTGCTTACAAGTTTAAGCCAATGTCTTAATTATCTTCATCCTTTTTTTTTTTCTGGAACTGGGAATTGAACTCAGGCCCTTGCGCTTGCCAGGGAAACGCTTATTCTACTGAGCCATCTCCCCGGCCCCCATCTATTTATGAATACAAAACAGTAACTCCCCTTTAGCCTTACCACATTCATGAATTTGCTCATATTTCTCATAACCGCACCTATTTTGTTAAAATTCTTTTTTAGGGGGCCAGGAAGATGGCTCAGTGGAATAAGTGCTTCCTTGGCAAGCACAAGGGCCTGAGTTCAATCCCTGGTTCCACCAGAAAAAAAAATTATTTTTTAGGGTACTGGAAATTGAACTCAGGACGTCGCACTTGCCAGGTAGGCATTGCACTGCTGAACTATATTCAAGGCCCCATCAAAATTTTTTGAGACAGGGGCTGGTGAGATGGCTCAGTGGTCTGGAGCACCTACTTAGAACAAGTTTAGCAAAGCGCAGGGACCGTGGTTCAATCCCCCAGCACCACATGCCAGCCAGCCCCGCCCCCTGGTGGGCTGAGCTGGCCACACACACACACACACATAAAAAAAAAATTAAAAAAAATTTTTTTTTGAGACAGGTTCTTGTTGTGTAGCTTAGGCTTTCCTTGAAATTATGATCCTCAGGCTTCAGTGTCCCACAGTGCTGGGATTAAATTGTGTACCATGACACCTGGCTATTTTTATGTTTTGAAACAGGGTCCCGGCTGACATTTAACTTGTATTCTCCTATCTCAGACTCCTGAGTAGAATTGCATGCATATACCACCATGTTCAGCTACACATTTGCATTGCACTAGAGTTTTACATAAACGGAATCATGTAACATGTACTCTTTATGAGAACTTGGCGGCTTCTTCTTCTTCTTCTTCTTCTTCTTCTTCTTCTTCTTCTTCTTCTTCTTCTTCTTCCTTCTGTCTTCTTTCTTCTTTCTTCTCTTTTTTTTTTTTTTTTTTGAGATAGAGTTTCCCTGTGTAGTTCAGGCTGGTCTTGAGCTCACTTTGTAGTCCAAGATGGTCTCAAAATTGCATCAATCCTCCTGCCTCAGGATCTCTAGTGCTGGGATTATAGGCGTGCACCTCCACACCTGGCTGGATCTGGCTTCTTATCGTAATTATTTTGATGAACATTTTTGTGGTTGCTGGGGAGTAAATCTAGAGCCTTGAGTATGTTAAGCATGTTCTCTACCACTGAGCCACACTCCTAGCTCATAACATGATTTTTTTTTTATTTCGAATCAGACTCAGGACTTTGCACTTGTCAGGAAGGCACTGTGCCACTGAGCTATATCCCCAGCCCACCATGATCATTTTGAGATTCATCCAAATTGTTAATACCTTTTTATTGTTGAGACATATTCTACTGTGTGAATATATGTGGTTGTTGATCCACTCACCTACTCTTAGGTTGTTTGCAATTGTGAGCTATTAACAATTCAGGACTGAATTGTGTATTCACTTAGTCTGCTAAATTCATATGCTAAAGCTCTAAGGCCTAATGTGCCTCAATAGGGCTTTAGGAAGTAATTAAGTAGTTAAGAGAGATCCTTGGGATGCAGCACTAATCAGACAGGAGAGTAGCATTAAGGAGAGAGGGTTCTATCCCTCTTTTGGGGGGGTTCTGTGTCTGAGAGTCACTCTCTTTGTACTCTCTTGACTCAATGTAAGGACCCAGAGGACAGTCGTCTCCAAGAATTTTTATCAGGAGCGGAAAATATCGGCACCTTGATCTTGGACTTTCTAGTTTACAGACTGTGAGAACTAAATTTCCGAGTTGGGCGTGGTAGCACAGGCCTGTAATCCCAGCGCTACAGAGGCTGCTAAGGCAGTAGGATTGACACACGAACTTGAGGCCAGCCTGAGGCACTTAGTGAGACCTTGTGTTAAACTCCCTACCACAAAAAAGAGAAATAAACTTTTGCTGTTACAGACACCCAGTCTGTTAATTTTCTTTTCTTTTTTTTTGCAGAACCGGGGATTGAACTCAGGCCCTTGCACTTGCCAGGGAAGTGCTTATTCTACTGAGCCATCTCCTCGGCCCCTCTGTTAATATTTTGTAATGGAAGCCCAAGATGAATATGATAAGAAATAAAAGTGCCGCAAACTTTTATCCAGATCTTTGTGTAAATGTAAACTGGGTAAGAATGGCTGGAGCAGGGCTGGGGAGATGTCTTAGTGGAATAAGCGTTTCCCTGGCAAGTGCAAGGGTCTGAGTTCAATCCCCAGTTACAAAAAAAAAAAAAAAAAGAATGGCTGGAGCTTTTATATACATTTAACTTTTTAAGCTACTGCCAAGCTGTGTTCTGAAGTTGCTAGGCCATCTCACATTTCCACCAGCAGTGTATTTTCTGTATCTTCTGCAACATTTACTGTGGTCAGGCGTTTAAATTTTAACCAGGGTTCTCAGTTAGTAGAAACAGCAGTGGCTGAGGCAGAACAAGGCCAAACATTTTTAGTAGCTCCCTCAGCCAGGTCTCCTTGACCATAGTCAGGTAGGTCACCGCGGGGCCGGCGCCCTGCGAGGGACTGGCCTGCCAGAGCCGCGTCAAAGTCTGGGCGGGCCCGCAGGTGAGCGCGCCCCTGTGCTCAAAACTCCTTGCCCAGCCGCCACGAACCCACTGTGCTGACCACTGGACATGGAGTCTTGTGCAAAGGGCACTGAGGACCCTAGGGGGACCAGAGGAGGTACGGGGGGAATAGAATGGGGTGCGAAAGGGGGAAAGCCTTTACTGCGTACAGTGGAACCCAGCTTGCCTGTTCCTCAGCTCTATTCTACAGGTGATAAACAACAGCTCTGTTGCCAAGCGGTGTAGGCAGGGGCAGGGAACTAGGGACAATAGCTGTGGCTCTAGAGCCCCTCCGCACATACCGAGTGGAAGGGCAGTGCATCGGATGGGGAAATGGGTCGTAAGGGTAAGGGGGGAGGACGTGCTGGGAGGGATCAGGGGACGCTGGACACGCAGGGTTCGCAGGGTTCGTGGCACTTGGCTGAGGTGAGGCGAGGACGTCTCAGGAACTGTGGAGAGGGAATTGGAGGTCCAAGGGCCCTGTAGGGAAACGGGCAATTCCTAGGGTTAGCAGAGGGTGCCTAGGATGCCTGGAAGAGAAATCAGTGGTCTCAGTGATATGGGGAGTGGTTGTGTTCTATCACGATATCTGGGAAATGCAGGGTCCCGGGTTATACAGTGGGAAGTTTCTGATCTGTAGTTCTTAGGAGACAATTCAGGAGCTGTAGAGAAATGAATTGAATTGGATGTTTGGAGGTAACCAGGACCTTTGCAGTCAAATGGGTATCTCCAGGGAAATCGTGGGGCAAATATCCCTGTGGTGGTCGGAGTCACAGGAGAGAGGGACTGTCAGCGATCTCTAGTTATGGAGAGTGGCTGCAAGGACGGTGGATATTTGGGAGAGCACTCCTATGTCTTTGGACGTCTGGAATCACGGGTGTTCGCCAAGGCTCAGCGTTGGCGCTGACCTGTCCCCCTCTCCCACGCAGGCCGCGGCCTCCCCTCCCCTGCGGGCTCCAGCGCCCGGCGGCTGCTGTCACGGCTGGACGTGCGCCCCCTGGCGGCTAGAGCTGCAGCCGACGTGTCCGCACTGGTACGCAGGGCGAGCGCCACACTGCGCCTGCGCTCGAAGGAGAGTGCGTAACAGGGGCGGGGCCTCCCCGGAGGAGGGGGCGGGGGAGCAAAGGGGCGGGGGAGTGCAAAGGGGCGGGACTCGGAGGGTGTCTCGAGGGGACGGGACCTAGGGTTTCCTGGCACCCTCTTCAGGATTTTTGCCTCAAGCCGGCACTAGAACGTGCGACGAGAGGGTGGGACGGGACGCTTATTCCGGTCAGCGGGGCTCCCCGGGTTCTTTCTGAGAGGGAGGAGCCCGCCACGAGGAGGCGGGGGCGGGCATTCGGCAAAGGGGCGGGCCTGGGATGCCGGGCGCGGGCAGGAGGCGCGGAAGGCCTTGGGGCGGGGCTTGGAGCGTGAGGCGTGGACTGAGGGTGAGAGGCTAATTGGGGAGGGGGCGGGTCCTGGGACGGCGGAAGAGTGGCGGCCTCCAGGGAAGGCCGTGAGCCTGAGCCTTTATTACTGGGGGAGGGCTGGGGAGATAGCTCAGTAGATCAGTAGAATACGTGTTTGCCTGGCAAGAGCAAGGGCCTGAGTTCAATCCCCGGTACCGGGGGAAAAAAAATTACTGGGGGAGAGGACTGGGGAGATAACTCGGTAGAATGAACACCTGCCTGGTAAGCATAGGGTCCGGAGTTCAATCCCAAGTATCACAAAAAAAGTAAATAAAAAGGATAGATAGCTCAGCAGACTGAGTCTGGAGTCTGGGCGTGGTGGTATATGCCTGTAATCCCAGCGCTGAGGATCACTATGAGTCTGAGTAGTGTGGTGAGACCCTGTAACAACCAAATACATAAATGAAAAAAATCGATTACTTTTGGGGGAGGCTTCCTAGATTGTTAGATTTTGGATGAATCTGTGTAAATTTTAAAGGCTATGCAAAAAGGTGAGGCCACTTGTTATGTGTTCCAAACATACAGTATATTTGTATTAATAAAAAATAGGGGGGGCTGGTGAGATGGCTCAGTGGTCTAAAGCACCTACTAAGAACAAGCTTAGCAAAGCACAGGGACCACGGTTCAATTCCCCAGCACCACATGCCAGCCAGCCCTGCCCCCTGGTGGACTGAGCTGGCTACACACACACACACACAATTTTAAAAAAATGGGAAGTTTTTTAGAAAAGTGCGGCCAGAATGTTAACTGAGAAAGCTGTTGCTATGTAGTTTCCCCTGATGCATCCTCTAACAGCTCTTTCTGTCTCTTTCACCCCAGCCCTTAGTGTGACTGACTCTGCAGACATAGAAGTCACAGATAGTCGCCTGCCACATGCCACTGTTGTGGAGCACCAGCCCCAGGTACAACTTTATCCCATTTGATAGGTGCTCCCTTGGGGCTGCCAATATAAAGTGTCCTGGGCCATGGAGATAGCTCATGACCCAAGTGCCTGCCTGTCAAGTGCAAGATCCTGAGTTTGATCCCCCACACCAAAAATAAATAAATAATAGTGTCCTTACTCCAGCACTGTAGGTCAAAGACGCTGGGTGCGGGTACTGCACCACCTCAAGTGACTCTAGATAAAGCAAGCTGTGCTTGGAAGTCTTCCCGGACCTCTGGTTGGTTCTCTGTGGAGCTGCTCCGTGGGTCTGAAGGCTTTGGCCTCACCTTCAATGGGGGCCGAGATGGAGCAGGGGATGAGCCACTGGCAGTGCGTGGGCTGCTGAAGGACGGGCCTGCACAGCGCTGTGGTCATTTGCAGGTTAGTCTAGTCATTCATTTGTAATTGTGCTCTCCATATGCCCTTCTTACACCGCTGCCTCCCTGAATTGCAGATTGGCGACCTCGTGCTCCAAATCAATGGAGAGTCAACGCAAGGCCTTACCCATGACCAGGTCCTGGAGCAGATCCGTGCTGGAGGCCCCAGGCTCCGGCTTGGGCTCAGGCGGCCTTCCAGCAAGCCTGAGGGACTGGGAGGACCCCAGAAACAAGGTGCTGGGCTTCCCAGGGGAGAGGGCCAGGGATCTGTAAGGGGAAGGAGGGCCACTGAGCAGAGGCTGGGAGCCTGAGTGGAAAGGGATTGGTGGTCTGAGTGGGAGAGAGTCGAGGCTTGGGGTCTGGGTGTGATTATGTGGTATTCTCAAAAGTGGAGGCATGGAGGAGGCCCCTTTCTCAGGACAGGAATTTCAGAAGGAAGGCTTTTGAGGTATGAGAAATGAAGAGGGAAGGGGTCTGGGGTCAAAGTGGGTGTTTAGAAGGGTCTTAGTCCTTGGAGAGGCAGAACAGGTCTCAGCTGAGAGACAGGATGGGGGCTTTAGTGGATCTAGTTCTGAGACAAAAAGGGTCTACAAGTGAAAGGGTCGAGAATCAAGGAGTATGAGGTGAGTTGAGGGAGGAGACAGAATTCTTAGAAAGGAGCGATTCATATTCCCAAGGTAACAGTAGCAGTTTGATCTCCTGTGGGGGTTGTGGGAAATACTTTCTGAGAGGTATGTCTTGCATAGAGGAGGGGAGGGGTATGGAGAAAGGTGTGATGGCTGGCTCTGGTCACTGAGGGCCAGATAGCTCCAGGCCTCCTAGGAGAGGTTTCTTCCAGGAATGAAGTCTCTATCTTCATAACCCTTGGGCTCTCCCTGTCACTCTAACTCAAAGGCCCTGATTTCAATTCCCTACACTAGCACCCAATCTAACTGGAAATCACGCTGTCCCCAGATTGCAGCCCAGATCCTGAGGGCCCAGAGAGGAGGTCCCAGAGCATCAACCTTTCCCCAGCACACCACCCTCGATCCAGCAGGAAGCCCAAGACCCGGGGCAGCCCCGAGCCTATTGCAGAGGCAGTGGCTGATGGCCCCGTGGTTCCTTCTCCAGAACTCAACGCTGAGGACTCAGGCAACCATATGGCGGGTTCCCCGGGGCCCTGGTTAGTGCCCAGCGAGGAGAGCCTCTCGCGGGCGCTGGGGGTCCCGGGGTCTGCCCAGTTCGCTCAGGAGATGGCAGCTGGAAGGCGAAGGCACTAAGTGTACATCAGACTGCTCTGTGCTCACTTGCTAGAGTTCCACCAGGATCTGTCGCACCCCGACAACTATGCGCTGGCATTGTCCTGAGTTTCCTCCTGGTCGGGACCCGCTCCCTCTGCGCAGTCCACTGGCCCACATCCCCGCACTGAGCCAGTGGTACAGTACTCCCAGTCCCCCAATTCCCGAGCTTATGGTTCCAGGTGGGCAGGGAAGGCAATAAAACAAACCTGTCCTGTCTGGACTCGCCGGGTGCTGCAGGCGGGGTGGGGCTTCTCATCCATCCTGGAAAGGAGGGGGTGGGCTGATCTGGTTTCAAAAGGGCATCTTGGAACCACTGAGGAGCTACGTGCTGTTTCTTTCCTGCCTCATGGGTCTTCCCTTCTGCCTGTCCTCAGCCCCACGTGTTTGCTCCACATTTCTTTTTTCATCAATTCCAGCTCTTCTCGCCATTCCTTCATTTCACTCTTTTGGAGGTGTGCGGAGACTCGCACGTTATTGCGTGTGGCTGGGAATGCAAAGGTGGACCTGTTGTGGGATGCACCATAGTCCGCACTGTGCTTGCTGGGAGTCGTCCACACCCTCAGCTGACAGCGGCATAGCAAGTCTAAAAGCCTGGGGAGGCTTCCTTTTCCTGCAGTCTTCCACTTCCGGCCTGGAAGGGCAGCTTTTGCTGGCATGTAGTCTGCCACCCTCAAAGCAAAGGCTGGGGCCTTGGAGCCCCCTTTGGGACTGAGCCAGGAAGGTGTGAGTCAGCACCCTGGGCGGCCCAGGCTAAAAAAGGCTGTTAAAACCTGTGAGTCACGCCCCTTTTCCTTAGATGGCAAGGAACTGCAACCAGCTGGTGCACACGCCCTACTCTGGCTGTTAAGGTTTCTGGGAGAAACCTAGAGTTTTCCCCACCCTGGGAGCCCAGCTCCACGGGCAGAGGCTGCGGTCAACGGGACTCCAACCTGGGTAGCTCCTCATAAGGTGTTAGCTGAGGCCAGAAATGCGTAGTCACCTCTGCTGTCACCACATCCTGAACACTGTCCCATTGCCCCAAGTAGGGAAGCTGTGGTTGGAGGGGAACTGACAACTTTTGTGCCTATGAGAAAGAGGCAGATGGGGGAGAAATAAATTAAAGGACAGGAGTGTGAGTCTGGGCTGAGCTGGGGTATGAATGCAAAAGAGAGGAACATTGGAAAGTCTAGCTGTAGATATTGTGGGGGAGTGTGTTCAGGGCATCCAGCTCCCCTTGACTCAGAGCTTGGTGGAGGTGTGGCTCGACAGATGTCCGAAAGGGATGACAGAGCTCCATTCTTATAAACACAGTCACACCCAGGCTACTAAAACTAGCAACACAGCCTCCACTCAGTCTTATCCCTTCAAGTGCCTTTAGTACAATATTTTTATCTAGTTGCATACCTACTCAACAACCCTGATGTGTGTCCATTTCACAAGAGGAAGAAAGTGAGGCCTAGAGACTGCAAATAGCTTTAGGTGGAGGGTGAGTGGAAGAAAGATTTAATTAAAGTCTGATTTTTTTTTTTTTTGAGGCAGAGTCTCCTCGGTGTGTAGTGCAAGCTGGCCTTGAACTTGCTTATGTAGCCTAGGCTGGCCTTCAACTCCTGGTGATTTTCCTGCCTCATCCACATCCAGTTGACAGCCTGATTTCTACCTGTGTTTGATAAGTTTTTCTTTTCTTTCTTTTTTTTGAGGAACCGGGAATTGAACTCAGGCCCCTGCGCTTGCCAGGCAAGTGCTTATTCTACTGAGCTATTTCCCTGACCCCATGTGTTTGATAAGTTTTTTTTTTTATGGTTGTTACTTTTTTTTTTTTGGTGGAACCGGGGCTTGAACTCAGGTCCTTGTGCTTTCCAGGGAAGTACTTATTCCACTGAGCTATCTCTCCGGCCCCTGATAAGTTTTTTTTTTT